AGAATGAAACATATATGCATATAAAAGGTATAAAGTAATAATTGTGTAATTTTTGGTGATGCTGTACATGAGTTAAATGCTCTATAGCTGCACTAAAAACTGGAATAGCACAATAGAAAGAGCAATGATAAAATTAACACTAATAATTTAAAGTTCTAATTTTTCCTAGAACAGCATCAAGTAGCAAACAGATAAAACACTGTAACAAGTTGTGAGAGAGACCACAGAAGAAAGGTAAAACAAATTAATACTTTTTTTTTTAACATCTTTATTGGACTATAATTGCTTTACAATGGTGTGTTAGTTTCTGCTGTATAACAAAGTGAATCAGCTATACATATACATATATCCCCATATCTCCTCCCTCTTGCATCTCCCTCCCACCCTCCCTATCCTAACCCTCTAGATGGTCACAAAACACCGAGCTGATCTCCCTGTGCTACGCAGCTGCTTCCCACTAGCTATCTATTTTACATTTGCTAGTGTATATATGTCCATGCCACTCTCTCACTTCGTCCCAGCTTACCCTTCCCCCTCCCTGTGTCCTCAAGTCCATGCTCTACGTCTACATCTTTATTCCTCTCCTGGTCCTAGGTTCTTCAGAACCTTTTTTTTTTTTTTTTTTTTTTAAGTTCCCTTTTTTTTGTTAGCATACGGTATTTGTTTTTCTCTTTCTGACTTACTTCACTCTGTATGACAGTCTCTAGGTCCATCCACTTCACTACAAATAACTCAATTTCGTTTCTTTTTATGGCTGAGTAATATTCCATTGTATATATGTGCCACATCCTCTTTATCCATTCATTTGTTAATGGACACTTAGGTTGCTTCCATGTCCTGGCTATTGTAAACAGAGCTGCAATGAACACTGTGGTACATGACTCTTTTTGAATTATGGTTTTCTCAGGGTATATGCCCAGTAGTGGGACTGGTGGGTCGTATGGTAGTTCTATTTTGTTTTTAAGGAACCTCCATACTGTTCTCCATAGTGGCTGTATCCATTTACATTCCCACCAACAGTGCAAGAGGGTTCCCTTTTCTCCACACCCTCTCCAGCATTTACTGTTTCTAGATTTTTTTGATGATGGCCATTCTGACTGGTGAGAGGTGATACCTCATTGTAGTTTTGATTTGCATTTCTAATGATTAGTGATGTTGAGCATCCTTTAATGTAATCAGTATATCTTCTTTGGAGAAATGTCTATTTAGGTCTTCTGCCCATTTTTGGATTGGGTTGTTTGCTTTTTGGATATTGAGCTGCATGAGCTGATTGTATATTTTGGAGATTAATCCTTTTGTCAGTTCCTTCATTTGCAAATATTTTCTCCCATTCTGAGTGCTGTCTTTTCGTCTTGTTTATGGTTTCCTTTGCTGTGCAAAAGCTTTTAAGTTTCATTAGGTCCCATTTGTTTATTTTTGTTTTTATTTCCATTTGTCTAGGAGGTGGGTCAAAAAGGATCTTACTGTTGATTTATGTCATAGAGTGTTCTGCTATGTTTTCCTCTAAGACTTTTATAGTGTCTTGCCTTACATTTAGGTCTTTAATCCATTTTGAGTTTATTTTTGTGTATGGTGTTAGGGAGTGTTCTAACTTCATTCTTTTACATGTAGCTGTCCAGTTTTCCCAGTATCACTTATTGAAGAGGCTGTCTTTCCTCCATTGTATATTCTTGCCTCCTTTATCAAAGATAAGGTGACCATATGTGCATGGGTTTATCTCTGGGCTTCTATCCTGTTCCATTGATCTATATTTCTGTTTTGGGGCCAGTACCATACTGTCTTGATTACTGTAGCTTTGTAATACAGTGTGACATCTGGGAGCCTGATTCCTCCAGCTCCGTTTTTCTTTCTCAAGATTGCTTTGGCTATTCGGGCTCTTTTGTTTTTCCATACAAATTGTGCAACTTTTTGTTCTAGTTCTGAAAATGTGAAAAATGCCATTGGTAGTTTGATAGGGATTGCATCGAATCTGTAGATTGCTTTGGGTAGTAGAGTCATTTTCACAATGTTGATTCTTCCAATCCAAGAACATGGTATATCTCTCCATCTGCTGGTATCATCTTTCTTTCATCAGTGTCCTAATAGTTTTCTGCATACAGGTCTTTTGTCTCCTTAGGTAGGTTTGTTTCTAGGTATTTTCTTTTTGTTGCAATGGTAAATGGGAATGTTTCCTTAATTTCTCTTTCAGATTTTTCATCATTAGTGTATAGGAATGCAAGGGATTTCTGTGCATTAATTTTGTATCCTGCAACTTTACCAAATTCATTGATTAGCTCTAGTAGTTTTCTGGTAGTATCTTTAGGATTCTCTATGTTTAGTATCATGTCATCTGCAAACAGTGACAGCTTTACTTCTTCTTTTCCGAGTTGGAGTCCTTTTATTTATTTTTCTTCTCTGATTGCTGTGGCTAAAACTTCCAAGACTATGTTGAATAATAGTTGTGAGTGTGGGCACCTTTGTCTTGTTCCTGATCTTAGAGGAAATGGTTTCAGTTTTTCACCATTGAGAACAATGTTCTTTGGGTTTGTCATATATGACCTTTATTATGTTGAGGTAAGTTCCCTCTATGCCTACTTTCTGGAGGGTTTTTTTTTTTTTTTTTATCGTAAATGGGTGTTGAATTTTGTCAAAAGCTTTTTCTGCATCTATTGAGATGATGGTTTTTCTCCTTCAATTTGTTAATACGGTTTATCACATTGATTAATTTGTGTATACTGAAGAATCCTTGCATTTCTGTGATAAACTGCATTTGATCATGGTGTATGATCCTTTTAATGTGCTGTTGGATTCTGTTTGCTTTATTTTGTTGAGGATTTTTGCATCTACGTTCATCAGTGATATTGGCCTGTAGTTTTCTTTCATTGTGACATCTTTGTCTGGTTTTGGTACCAGGGTGATGGTAGCCTCATAGAATGAGTTTGGGAGTGTTCCTCCCTCTGCTATATTTTGGAAGAGTTTGAAAAGGATAGGTGTTAGCTCCTCTCTAAATGTTTGATAGAATTCGCCTGTGAAGCCATCTGGTACTGGGCTTTTGTTTGCTGGAAGATTTTTAATCACAGTTCCAGTTTCAGTGCTTGTAACCGGTCTCTTTATATTTTCTATTTCTTCCTGGTTCAGTCTTGGAAGGTTGTGCTTTTCTAAGAATTTGTCCATTTCTTCCCGGTTGTCCATTTTATTGGCATATGGTTGCTTGTAGTAATCTCTTATGATCCTTTGTATTTCTGCAGTGTCAGTTGTTACTTCTCCTTTTCATTTCTAATTCTATTGATTTGAGTCTTCTCCCTTTTTTTCTTGATAAGTCTGGCTAATGGTTTATCAATTTTGTTTATCTTCTCAAAGAACCAGCTTTTAGTTTTATTGATCTTTGCTATCATTTCCTTCATTTCTTTTTCATTTATTTCTGATCTGATCTTTATGATTTCTTTCCTTCTGCTAACTTTGGGGGTTTCTTGCTCTTCTTTCTCTAACTGCTTTAAGTGTAAGGTTAGGTTGAGATTTTTCTTGTTTCTTGAGGTAGGATTGTATTGCTATAAAATTCCCTCTTAGAACTGCTTTTGCTGCATTCCATAGGTTTTGGGTCGTTGTGTTTTCATTGTCATTTGTTTCTCGGTATTTTTTGATTTTCTCTTTGATTTCTTCAGTGATCTCTTGGTTATTTAGTGGTGTATTTTTTAGCCTCCATGTATTTTTATTTTTTACAGATTTTTTCCTATAATTGATATCTAGTCTCATAGCGTTGTGGTCAGGAAAGATACTTGATATGATTTCAATTTTCTTAAATTTACCAAGGTTTTTTTTGTGACCCAAGATATTTATCCTGGAGAATGTTCCACAAGAACTTGAGAAGAAAGTGTATTCAGTTGATTTTGGATGCAATGTCCTATATATATCAATTAAGTCCATCTTGTTTAATGTGTCATTTAAAGCTTGTGTTTCCTTATTTATATTTTCATTTTGGATTATCTGTCCATTGGTGAAAGTGGGGTGTTAAAGTCCCCTACTGTTATTGTGTTAATATCGATTTCCCCTTTTATGGCTGTTAGCAGTTTCCTTATGTATTGAGGTGCTCCTATATTGGGTGCATAAATATTTACAATTGTTATATCTTCTTCTTGGATTTATCCCTTGATCATTATGTAGTGGCTTTGTCTCTTGTAATAGTCTTTATTTTAAAGTCTATTTTGTCTAATATTAGAATTGCTACTCCATATTAGTACTTTTTTTTTTTTTTTTTTGCCATACGCGGGCCTCTCGTTGTGGCCTCTCCCATTGCGGAGCACAGGCTCCGGATGTGCAGGCTCAGCGGCCATGGCTCATGGGCCCAGCCACTCTGCGGCATGTGGGATCTTCCCAGACCCGTGTCCCCTGCATCAGCAGGTGAACTCTCATGCGCCACCAAGGAAGTCCAGTACTTTTAATGGTAGCTTATCTGAGTTTTGGAGAAAAGGCCCCACATTTTCATTCTGCACTGGGTCCTATATATTGGGTAGCTATTCCCGCTCTTGAGTGCTCTGCTCCTCCTGAGGCAGGTCTCAAATCTTTCCTTGTTGGAACCCCCTTCTGTCTACAGCCCTTTGGGGATTCCACCTGATTGTCACTGATTTGAAGGCCGCCGCTGTTTCGTGGCTCCTCTGCTGCTTCATTTATGAAATCCAGAGCTGGACCAGGACTTAAGAAATAATTCAGGGGCTCCATGATCTCTAGAGGAAGGATACCTGCCACAGTGGAAGATGACACAACTTCTCAATCCCCTTCTAACCCTGACTTGGGGAAGCAGCCAAATGCTGGAATCTCTTATCTGTCACTGCTGGTTCTCTCTTTGATGAGTTTTGGCAGAAAAATGCTTCTGGAAGACTAAACCTCAGCTATTATCCTTGACAACTTGGTTCCTCTCTATTCTTTTCTGCTACCCAATGAATTGTTAAGCAATTGTGAGTAGGTAGAGCAGGTGGAGGCTCTTGTCAACAGTGACTGATCTCATCAAAACTCTGCATGAAGAGTCCTGGCAAAGCAATGCTTGGGAGATTTATTTTGTTTTGGTTTTAATGGCACAGCAGAATCACCTCTTCTTTTAAAAACAAGTGAAAAAGATAATTTTGGCAAATGTGCAAATATCACATCACAAAACTGGAAAAAAGAAGCTTTATAGGAAACCGATGAAGATGAGAAACTACAGGAAACTGAAAATGAGCAACGCAAGATCTTTGTGGTGAAGGATATAAAGAACATAAAAATGTATATTCAAGGTTTTTCATGGAACATTATAACCCATCAAATTAAGGTATCAATATTCTCTAACAAAATTAACTGACCTGAGGAAGGATAATGCAAAAGTATTCTAATGCGGTGCTGCCCAATAGAACTTTCTGTGATGATAGAAATGTTTGTTTGATCATCTCTGTGCTAATACAGAATCCACTAGCCATATGAATACTCCCATTGTGGCTAATATAACTGAGGAACTGAATTTTTAACATGGCTTAAATTTAGCTGCTTTAAAAAGTGGCTACCAATTGAGCAGCATAGTTGTAATGCTTCATAGGTCAAAACCAGTGGTTTCTATGGGGGACTTCTCTAATTACTGCTGAGGGGGTAGGGGGTTGGAGTAGAAAGAGAAGAAAGCTCTTAACAGATCTTCTTAGTCACTTACACAGCACCTTACATTCTCCACAGCTTCCAGAATCAGTAGGTGGTACAACCTGCTGTAAGGGGTATGAGGGAAGGATTCTTGGGGAGACCTGAGTATGCTTTTCCAAGTCCTGGCTCAAGCCAATGGCAGTAAAAAAGGCCTAGGATTTTGTCACTCAGACGGGGAGGGGACTATGGTTCCACACACAGAATCTGAGGCTTGGGCCACGCCTGGGGCATCCGTGCATGGAAATCATCGCTGTGGGGCTGGCAGGGAGCTGGAGGTGGGGCGCTCATTTTCGGACAGGGTTTCCAGAGCCAGAGGAGGATTTAGAGGTGGAAAGAGGACCTGCAGGCCCTTTCTGGCCACCTGCAGGCTGAACAGACCCTTTCTTTTTGGGGATTAAGGTCTTGTTCTTGCTCTTGAACACTTTGCTGGGATCCAGCTTGTTCACAAAGGAGTCGGTCTCTTCCGTGAGTAGGTTTGTGTTGTAGGTGATGGGTTTATACATGTTGAACCATTGCTGTAAGGCAGAATTAGGAGAGAGGGTCACAATTCAAAGGAGAGGAGTATGTGTTTACGCTCTTCAGGGGAGATACAGGGGTAGAGAGCTGGGGAGATGAGGCAGAGTAAAAGACTTTAGGAAAAACTGCCTCTAAAATCTATTAGCACTTCCTTTAGGTAAAAGGGAAGACACACATTGCTTTATGGGGTCTCATAACCTTTAAACATGAGGACTAAGAATCTGAGTAAATGCACTTCCTTCTAACCTAGTATGCACTGAGCCTGGTATGCTAGATCCCAAATCATCAGGGTACAGTGTCCTAATTGTTCTGCCTCCAAACCAGCCACTGCCCATCAGGTGGACTTGGTAGCATCCTTCCCACAGGGAAGGATGCTTTCCTCTACTGGGGGAAGTTGCCTGCTCTCTTCCCTACAGGCTTTCTGGGCAGCTGAGGGCAAAGGGCATCTACATTTATTTTCATTGATCACAACCACCCACTATGTTGCCTGGATGTATGTCACTGTCATGTGACATTTGAGGAAAGTGAGGTCCACTTGATGAATACATTCATCGAGTCCCTCATTTTTTGCCACCCAGTCAAAAGTTCTTCTAGACACACCTGGTGTTCTCAAACCAGGCAGTATATCAGCATTACCTGACATCTGTATGTTTAAAATGGTGTCTGGATCTATAATATAAATGAGGCACAGCCATACTTTGAAATACTCTGTATCATTGAAAAAGACAGCTCTCTCTATATATTGATAGGGAATGAGCTTCAACATGGAGTTAAGTGAAAAGAAGGTGCAGAACAATGTGAATAGTATATCGCACTTGTGATTTAGAGAAAAGGAACCAAAAACTGTATGCATGCATGCATGCTTTCTATCCAATAAAGTATCTCAGTGAGGGCACAAGAGAAACTAACAGGGGCTCCCTGTGGGGAAGTGGATGGGGAAGCTGGAGAACCAGTGAATAACAGACTGATTTTTCACTGTTCCTGTATGCATGTACTGCCTATCCAAAATGAATGGTCAAACCTAATCTCCCCCCACCACCAACCCCTTTTCATTAGAAGTTAAAAACTCCCCAGGTGATTCTGAGGCTCAGCCAAGTTTGGGACCCATTTAACTAGATTAGTATAAAGTGAGGTTGTCCACCTAAATTGGAAGCACCTGCCTTGCTTATTGAACATACAAGCTCCTGGGCTCAACCCCAGATCTCCTGCATCAGATGAGGAAGCTGGGAATCTGCAATTTAAGCATTTCCTCAGAAGATTCTGATACATTCTAGTTTGAGATGACAGGTGGTCCCCCCTTACCTTGGCCTGTGGGCTAATGCCATAGCTGGTGAAAGCATACTGCCACTGGGGCAGGCCCAGGTGGGTGATAAGCAGGCGATAATAGGCAGTAAAGGTATCTGTGAGAAAATGCCAGTATAATGCTCTGTCCAGGAACCAGATCTCAGTGTCCTGTGCTAATGCTGAAATAGCAGACAAAGGACATAAAGGAAGGGATGGTTTAACACTTCTTTCCTTTTATCTATAAAGTCAACATCTACTCATGGTTAAAACAAATTTCAATAGTAGAAGGAATGTAAACTATAAGTAAAAGTTCCCTTTTTTCCCTTCAACCTCCCAGTTCTGTTCTCCAGTGGCCACTGTTACTGGCTTCTTTATATTCTTTTACAAATTCTTGATCAGTCAGTCGACTGATCTATCTGCTGGGCTTTGGCCATCTGTGCATTCAGGCTATCTAAGCAGCACTCCTTTCTTGTGCGGACTCAACACTCCCCCTCCCCCAATAGGTACATACTGTGGTCTCAGGCTTCCTGATGGAGAGGCACTCTGTCTGAACAGTTCTGGCTTTCTCAGGAGGTCTGTCAGGAATTAGAAGTGCTGTGAGAAACCACCATGGAGGAGCCCAGACCAGCTTCCTCTCCTGAGACTCCTGCCTGTGCAGCTGTGTGATGTGCTGGTTGAGCTGAGGCAGGCACTATTGTACCAGCTCCTGCCTCACGCTTGCTTCTGACCGTCCATTCTTAGTACTCCTAGTTCATCTCCTAGGCCTCTCCTATTTCATCTCCTGTCTAATGGCTGTAACGTCTCCCTAAGTGGCCTCCATCCTCCAGTACCTTCCACTTCCATTTCTGCTTGTGGTCACATTTTCATTTGAATCCTGCCATACTTCTGCTAAATAACCTTGACTCCCCACCTACTTCCACGTAACATCCAAACCCCTTCACCTGGCTTTCAAAACTCCACATGAAAGGGAATCACAGGGCTTCTGGTGTCATCTCCTCCTCATCCACAAGATGAACCACGTGGCCAATGAACTGGAATTGTCATTCCCCCCAAATCATGTGCATTCTCTCATGGCATAGCTTTTACCCATATCCCTTTGCTTGGATGCCCCCTTTTGCCCCACACCCCACACCCCCCATATCTCATTCAGACCTATACTTCAAGATGCAGCTCATTAGTTGCGGCTCACTGGCTCCTTAGTTGTGGCACACGAGCTCTTTAGTTGTGGCCCCACATGCTGCAACTAAGACCCGGTGCAACCAAATAGATAAATAAATAAATTTTTTTTTTTAAAAAAAAGATGCAGCTCAAAGGCTACTTCACAAAGACTCCTCCAGCTGGAGATGACCTCTCCTTTCCCCCAGAGGTAAACCCTGGTGTGTCTTCTCACCCTTTGCAGGCAGAAAGCTACTTGAAGAGGGCTGGACATTGTCCAACTCTGTAGTTCCTAGGGACTGAACTGCTGTTAGGGGGCCAGGTGGTGCCCACTGCTCAAGAAGCCAGAGCCTTCTTCTCTTGATTTCCCATCTGGGATCTTAGTTTGAGGTCTAGTAATTCAGATTTTTATTGCTGTTAATTGGCCTACATAAATACGTGTAAAAGAAAGACAGTGTTTTTCCTGGATGCTTTTCTAATGCATGAGCCTGCTGGAGGAGTTATAAACAGAATGACTATTTCTTTTAGCATTTATTCACTTATTATCCTAATCTTATTATTTTGCAGTAACTCACAAGTGACACAAATGACAATAGCTTAAAAAGACTCTAGTAATTGGCCTGGAGGGGGATGCTCGGAGAGGACCAAGGGGTTTTCTGGGTCTTGGCATCTACAAGAGACCCAGCAGCACCTCAGGAGGTCAGGGAAGAACATGCCTTTTGTGTGATGGCTGGAGAGCAAGGTCAGCCAAGGCCATTCCCAAGCTACAGGACCATGCCTGCCATGATTCTTACCTGGTTTCCCTCTTTTGTAGACAAGGCAAACCTTCCCATTTCCGTTGCAAGGATCCAGCTCAAATATTACACTGCGAGAATCAAAGTGAGGCTTCTCTGGCTGGTTCTCACTAGCTGCAAACCCAGAAGTTAATGGTAATGTTCAAACACACTCAGCTCAAACATACTTATTCATCCAGCTTTGCTTGGATGAAAAAAAACAGAGGGAAAAAAAGCCTTATCTCAAACATATTCTTAACTATTATTTTCAAATGTGGACCAAATGTATTCTATACTCTAAATGTCCTGGGTCTTATTCATGGTCTAAGCCTCTGTCTGGGCTCCCCTACCACCAACAGAGTGTCATGGAATCTGGGGAAGGGGGCATGAGGACAGCAAACTGAACTTCTTGGGAGTGGGACTACATAAGTTAGAGTAACCTGAACAACTTTTTTCTTTTTCCCCAGATACATGGTTTCCCCTCGTTTATAGCACTTCATGATCTTTTGATTAGAATCCTTTTTCCTCTGTGTAAAATGTATATTCGTGGCATGCTATGTTTATTTCTATTATAATTATAACATTATAATTAATGCTAAGTCTGGCTCTGTTAGAAATACCTACCTAGAAACGAAATACCATGATGTAACAGAAAAAAAGATAAATTCTTAGAAATGCAACCATCAGAAACCTTCTCTCCTGCTTCTTTCATTACATCAATTATGCAATAATGATTAGCATTAGTGACTAGGGTAGAAAGTGTTTAACAAACCTAGGAGAGATTGGATAAAACAGAGTATATAAAAATAATATTTTTGATTTACACATATATCCATACATATAATTTTACATAAATGCATAAATATTTACATTTCTAAATAAGAAGACTTTTTGTGTTTTTTTTTTGTTTCTTTCTTTAATATGGTTTTACCCTCCCCTGGCGGTTATACCTTCATATTCTTCATCTCATATGGTCCTAGGCAGACATATAGGTATACATTTAAATTTTGTGAGATCATTTACTATATAAAAATGGGATATCACACATGTTACCTGAATCTTACTTTCTATACAATAATACAATGTGGAAAGCCCTCTAAGGGTTGTAACTCTAATGCATTTTTTTTAAGGGCTGCCTGACAGTCTGTGGGAGTGGATGCACCCTAATTTATCCTGTGAGCCACCTATTGAGAGGGGGCCAATATTATTCTGCTACAAATGCTACAGTAATCATCTCTGTACCTGTCCCTTTGTTCTGGTGCTTTTGTTATATGGCTAGACACCCTGAAGTATTATAGAATGGACATTGCCAGACTGCTTTTTGAAAAGGCCTTTGTTTTTGAAAGATATTTTCATGGGGTATAGAATTCTAGGTTGACAATTTTTTCCTTTGAGTATTTTAAGTTTTTTTTAATCAAATGAATTTGCTTAAAGAATATTTTATTTTTAAATTTTTAATGTATTTATTTTTTATTCCGGTCTAACAGCATGATTTTCCTCTGATTGTTTCTTTCTTTTTATTGGAGGATAGTTGATTTACAATGTTGTGTTAGTTTCAGGTGTACAGCAAAGTGAATCAGTTATACATATATCCACTCTTTTTTAGATTCTTTTCCTATATAGGTTATTACAGAGTATTGAGTAGTTTCCTGTGCTATACAGTAGGTCCTTATTAGTTATCTATTTGATATATAGTAGTATATATATGTCAATCCCAATCTCCCCATTTATCCCTCCCCCTTCCCTGAGTATTTTATCTTGATTGAATTGTTTCCAATGAGAAATATGCTATTATCCTTATCTTTGCTCCTTTGTATGGAATTGTCTTTTTCCACTGACTGCTTTTAAGATTTTCTCTTTATCCCTGATTTTGAGCAATTTGATTATGTTTCCTAGTATTGTTTCTTCATGTTTCTTGTTCCTGGCTTGTTAAGCTTCTTAGATATGGTTTAAGTTTCCAAGTAACTGGTACAGTTTTGAGCCACTATTTCTTCAAATAGTATTTCCTGGTCCATCCCCCACTTTTCAGGGACTCCAATTATACATACATTATACCATTTGTTGTCCCTCAGTTCACTGATGATATTTTGATTAAAATAATTTTTTATTTTCTTTCTGTGTTATTTTGGATTGTCTATTGTTACGTCTTTAAGTTCTCCAGTCTTTTCTTTGGCAATATCTAAACTATTGTTAGTCCCATCCAGTGTATTTTTCATCTCAGAAACTAGTTTCATCTCTAAAAGTTAAGTTTGGATTTGTTTTTTCCTATCTTCCATGTCTGTACTAAGTTTTTGGACATACAGAATATAGTAATGACTTTTAAAGTCTGTATCTGCTAATTCTAAACTGTATCTCAATTCTGGATTGGTTTCAATTAATTTTTCTCCTCATTATGGTCATTTTTTTCCTGCTTTTTTGCATACCTGGTAATCTTTGATTGGATGCCAGAAATTGTTAATTTTGCATTGTTGAGTGCTTGCTATTTTTATATTTCTATAAATATTGTTGAACTTTGTTCTGTGACACAGTTAAATTACTTGAAAACAGATACTTTCAGGTCTTGTGCTTAGTATTTGACAGGCAGAACCCAAGGCAGCATTTAACCTAGGGCTAATTTTTTCCCCATTACTGAGGCAGGACCCTTCTGAGTACTCTACCTAATTCTATGTAAGCCATGAGGTGTTTCAACCTGGAAGGTAGGAACGGACACTATTCCTGGTTCAGTGTGAGTACCAGGCATTGTTCCCTCTAATCTTCTTGGGTGCTTTTGTCCCTGGCCTTGGGTAGTATCTTCACATGTGTGTGCTTATCAGTTCTTTCCTGAATACTTGAGGACACTCTGCAGATCTCTGCAGTTCTCTCTCTATGCAGCTCATATCCTCTCTGTTACTCAGTCCTATGAACTCTGCCTGTCTTCATCCAGCTGGGCTCTTAGTTATGTCTTCTCAACAGGTACAACAGGTTCTCCTTGGGTTCCCTTCTCTATGCTGTCGACTGGAAACTTTCAGATAATAAGCTAGGGTTCACCTCATTTGCTTCCCATCATTCAGAGCTCATCATTCTTCCCTGTCTGATGGTCAGTATCTTGACAACATCCATTGTTTTATATATTTTGTCTGTTTTTGGTTTTTTTGTTGTTCCAGGTGGGAAGATAAATCTGGCCTCTACTATTCCATCTTGGATGAAATAAGAAGTCCAGACTGTAGGCTCCCACCAAGTTTTAGCAGCCTTGACTGATGCTGACTGGGGTC